TTTTCAGCAATTTTTCCAACCAAATCCTCTTCCATAAATTTTGATCTCGTTTCGTCGTATTCTCACGAGATACTCTTATAGCCCTCTAACCAGAAGGTACCCTCGTCTTCGCATTACGCCCAGATCCTCTTCAAACAAAAACCCTGCCTTTTTAGCGAACGCAACGTCGGATTGCTGGTCATCTGTAAACCGTCTCACGCATCTTCCTAACATTTGATCCTGCGTCATCCGATAGCTACGTGACTTCGAGGTCCTAACCACCCTTGAGCATTCGGATTACTCATTCTCACGAGCATTCCCTTCGACCACACGCAGACTAACATCTCACCATAAATCGAAAGAAAAGTAGCAACGACTTAATTGTCTTCAACGACTCTTAATAATACGTTATAGTTAATATACGTGATTGTACAATACTACGTTTCTCCGGTAAGATAATGAAACCATATCTTACGAATAGAAGTAAAAAAGAAAATATCACGTAGCTATATAGTTATAAGTGGTTGATTGAGAAGATAGAACAAAAAGGGAAATAAAATAACAGTAGAAGCGGTTTTCTTTCGACATAGTGACTAAACGAGTATTTCTCTTAACGATGGGTAGGTCAAGATGGATCAATTTTGTAGTTCTCAAGATAATTAAATATCACGCTACTGGATTTGTAAGATACTTCGAAAGAAAATGTTTATCGAACAAGTATTGGTACTTATCACGAATTGATATGAAGGATTCGTAATACTTTCGCTAAAGTCAAAATAAATCGACAATAAATCATTACGCATGAAAATGATTTTCTATACATGTATATTTTGTATTAAAAACAGTACCATTTGGAGCGTAATTTAGAAAAACAAAGTCAGTAGTATTTTAGATTTTATGCAAAGGTATATTTCTGTCACTGTTTTAATAACCTTTACTCATAAACATCGTTTTATAACATCGGGTACACTGTATACGTACATGTTCCATCTTTCAGGAACTGCAATCGTCAGAAAAACGTACAGAATACGAATAGTTTAAACATAAATTTTCCATTTCGACGATACGTAAATATAGAAAATGTTAAAATATTTTTAAATATGAAATGAACTATATTATTTTTTAAATTTGATATTATCGATCTTCAGGGATCAATACTGCCTAAACGAAAATTTAGTGTCGGTTTGCACAGACCGTTTAATGTTTCAAATATTATTTTTTCATATGCAACCATATCTGTACACATTCTAATTATTGTGTCACTACGTCAGTGTTAATAAGCAACGATTAATGACACACGGATCCGAAGGAAAATGTGGTGTTTGAAGAATTGTAGCGGACTATATTTTAGATTGGAATGCATTATAGAAAAACGCTTTGATGTCGAGGGAGCGTGTTTACTATTCAAAAGTTAATTTTTTCTGCGTTTGCTTATTAGCGAAAGTTGACTGACTGTGTTAGTTTGCGAGAGTCAGTGAGTTACAAAGTTTGGACTTCGCAGAAACTCTTGGTAGGGGTAAATATTTTTCTATCGGTGAATTTGAAACGCCAAAGTACAAGTTAGGTAGAGTAGCTATTTTCAAACAGCTTTTTTAGAGAGTGAGAGAAAATGAATTATTGCTCCATGTTAGATACTTGCCGCATATGGTCGTTAAATGCCGTCGTCCCAACGCGCCATATCGTATTTTTCCTTCTAATTGTTTGATACAGATTAAACGGTTCTGCACGGTTTAACGCTAATATTAAATATTATTTTTATATTTGTAACAACGTCTTGCAAAATTATATCGGCAAGGAGATATGATGACGGTCGAAGCTTGAAATTGATTTTGCACGTATTTAGTGAAACAACTTTAAAGACCACCCAGATATTGGAAACGATTAAAAGTTTTTTATTTCATACGACTATTTAGTTACTACGACCCAAGTATCCAATTTTAGCTTTCGTTTTAAAACGTGTAATAATTACTAATTTATAGCGCCTCCTTAAAGCGACTCGTGTTAGTTACGCGCTGATTGGCTGATACTTTAAAAATTTCCATTACCAATTAGCATGTCTAATGAACGTCGTTTACTCCCTTCTAGTGCGCCTTTAGTGCGTTTATTTTCAAAGAGGGAGAGGTGCAGTCCCTAGCGGCAGTGAGCGATGGCTAAAGTTCGGCAACAGTATGGAATTTGCTCTAGGTATAACTCTCCAATCATTGAGCCGTTATAGCAAACTTCCACCCTTTGGAAATTCGTAGTTTATAACGCAAGGGTTTTTAACAATGGAATTATTAAATGAAACTAAATAATCTCGTATCGAATATTTTACTCTTGCAATTACTATAAATATGCAGATACTTTTGACAAAATTAATATTAGTTTCTCTTCATGTAGAAACGTAATTGTATGTGTCTATTTATCTACATTTTATCACACTTCAATTATTATCACCTGAGCCATTCATAAGTCAAAGAGAGTCACTCCACTTTTTCAATTCTTTTTAAATGTTAATTCCAAAGTAGTTGATTGATGCTTTACTTTTTATATAAGAAAATAAATGTCTATTTTTCTGTTTTGTACAGTTAATCGATTTGGCAAATGAATGATTCTAAAAGGTGGTAATTTTGATATAAAAAAATTTTATAAATAATTTACTATAACTGTAAAAGGGAATTTGAAATTATTTTCTGAATTCATTGTTTCAAAGTCAATATTGAACTCAAAAATGAATAAAAATTATTTTTATTTATGATTACACTATACGTTATATCAATGAAAATTTAATAACTATTAAAACTGGTTAACGACAGGCGGAATTTAAAGCAAGCTTGTGAAAGGAGTAACTGAAAACCTTAGGTATCTATTTCGACGTTTGAAAGCAAATACAAGATACGATGTGATAGAACATGATTGTTACTTAATTTAGAAACTAGAAGCTAACGAAATATTTCACGTGAAGATATTTATACTTCATATATGCAATGAGTCACAAAAATATTCACATTCCTCCAGACGTTGACCTAAATGTATTATTCTCAGAAAATAAAAATTATTTGATAGGAATATGGTCCACACAAAGTTTATTAAATTGATGGAGTACAAATAAATTTATAACGTCCCATAAGATTGAAATTTCAATAAAAGTTTTATATGTGAAGTAACTAAATCTTTTTATTTTTGAAAATAAATATTTTGTCTTATATTATATAATAATTAGTCTTGATTAAACATAAGTAAATTACATTAGTTAAACTTTGAACAGCAAACGAAATTAAAATAAGAAATTAGGTTTAGAAAACAAACAAAAAACGAAATATAATCATTCTTTATTTTTGGATAATGTAATCTTTCTGCAAGAAACGAGTTACGTATCAAAGTTATATTCGTGTTACATTAAACAAAAAAGAAAAAAAGAAGAACAAATACAATTTGACATATTTCTAAGCGTATGATTTACGTGGGATGAAAAAATTTAAAATTTTTGAGAATCACTCATATATGTACATATGCATATATGTTTCTCTCTTCTCCAATAAATACGAGATCTGCCTACCCTTCGATATTCAGAATTAACGATGAATTCAAAATCTTGGAAACATTGACCTTATTTTTGGAAATCGCATCTATCTGGCACATTACTACGAATGTTTTGGTTTCTATTAAGAAATATTCACACGATATATATTTAACCCTTTGCACTCGAGAGGCGCCTCTCAGTCACCATTTAATTAGATTCTAAAGATCGATGTTAATTAAAATATCAAATTCAAAATTACCTAATGATGCGTGTAATGTCGAAGTAAAATATTCGTAACTAAGTCTTAATTTGCATCCGATTTCTTATTTGCCATTTTAAAAATATCCTTGACTTTATGACAGAAAGTCTTCGAATTACTATTTTTCTGTAACGAAAAAATCGTCGAGTGTAAAGGGTTAAAATTCACACGATATATATTTCAAGCTAAGGTGTAATTTCGAAAAGGTTTCATAAATAGCAGGAAGTATTTGACGCAAGTTATTTTTTCTTCTTCTTCTTCTTCTACTTTCTTTTATCCATCTCACTGAAACTCACGTCAGATCAAAAATTACTGCGAATAACCCCGGTAATCGACGTAACTAAACCTTAAACATGTTTACAATTTCAATTTGTTTTTATCCGATTGTTGTATTACAACTATAAAGGTATGACACTTACAGAAATATTTCACTAATTGAAGATGAAACTTTAACATTATTTCATAAAGGAATACTTGAATTACGGCTTATGGCTCCTTCTGTAAGTTTCTGTCTCTCAGCGAGTAGAATAGGATGCAATCGTAAAAAATTTGACCCTCAAAATGTCGGTTAAGATCAATTTTACGATTTTTTTTTTCACAGATCTCCATCGATCCGAGAAAGGTATAGAATTACCTGGAGAAGCCATGACAAAGTTTTGTCACAGTCTGTATATATAAAGAAAATATTAATTTTTGTCGCTACATAATAGCGTTATCAAAATAATTTTCTTATATTTCAGTATATTTTATTCAATTTCATTCGGAACAATAACGATCTAGCTTCCATGACATGACAAGTTCCCATGACGTTAGTGAAAGACGAAGTGTCGTCATTCGTTTTTCAACTAGTAATAACCAAATGCGCTAATCCTCATCGTGTACACCTCCATTACAGAATGAATTATTAAAAATTACTTTTTAAAAACGACACGTATCAAAATGAAACTTTTCACTTAATAAAGTATTTCGTGTCATACCGTCAGCCGTGTGATAAAGTAACTGCTGAACTTTGAAAATGAAATTCTAAAATTGCTATGTAATTTTCATCGAACCGAAAAGAGAAAATATTAGTGCAATATACAGGACTCGGGTATGTCTGCGAGTAGCTATACTTCCTTCGCTTTCTGTTTTATCTACTCTTTCCTTTTCTTCACTGGATCTCACGCTGTTTCTACCAAATTGTATTGGACTAACAACTACATTCGCGAGGTACGAGAACATAACGGTAAGCCAAAGTAGCCAATTGCCTTTGTTTTGCAGAACTTTGAGGTTGCCAAAGTGATTTATGAAAAAGGTTGTATTCAAGCTGGGGAGGAATGGGTGGAACGAAATCTTCTTGCAATTGTCACTGGGGCGGTTGCTACAGCATTTGCACAGGTATAATTTATTACGTTAAACATATTCTTACGCTTGTTATGTAACAAAACTATCTATATCTTAATTACGCATAAAATTTGTACTTTTGATCATTCTTTCATTGTCGGGTAAACGTTAAATGTCGAATAAAATATCGATTCTTCATCATTCTCATCGAAGCTATTCCTTTAACATATTTAAAAGTATAGTTGTGTTCGTTTAAAAACCTCATGCAAAACTGAAAGTAATCGTAGATTTAATATATACGTGACAAATTCGTTGAATTTATATGTCTTGATGTTGTAATTCGAGTATCATTACGTTGATCGCATATATATTTGGGCATGTATACGCACTGAGATGTTTGAAAATGCAATGGACGTTGCACGAGACGAGGAAAATTATTTACGTTAATTTGTGTCAAAAAATTATCTCGAACACGAATATTGTCATTCTTCGCATTTATTCATTTCATTTGCGATCATTTTTCGTCCCTACTTATTCCTAGTGATTTTAAAACTACTAATCGAGCTTTATAGAAGAACATCGAAAACACAAATTAATTTCAGAATTTACTCACACGTTTAATTATACGATTTATTATTAATTAATTATTAATTGTGTAATTATTATATTATTTTCAGATTCTGGGAATCTGTTTCGCTCAAAATCTTCGAGCAGACATATTTGCGCAAAAAGCGAAGTGGCATTGACAATTCAGAGCCCCCACGGCAGTCTAGCATCTTATAGTTATAGATGCTAACCAATTACGTTGATCGAACTGAAGAAATCGTCGAAGATCGTCGAAAAATGGCAGACCTTCGACGCAAAAATCGACACAGTTCCCCGTGACAAGTACAGAATGGAAGATCATACACGTCCGAACCAAGTCGACAGGATACAGATATTTCAAATTTTTCTTAAATTACCAATAATATTACATACTGCGCATTTTTATAATCCTCGTAATTTTATACAAATAAGTCACTCGAAATTGCGTTTAAACGTTTTTAACGAATTTCAGATCGCCAAATAAGATTGCGAGATTTTGTCGTTCGACACTTATGTTCCATTTTATGAAATAACGCACGACAAGCAAATGGCGAAGCCATAGGTTATGTTTAAGCGAGAATATACGGTTGCGAAGTTTAAATTTCATCGATAATTGTCGTCATTTCAACTATATATCGTTATTGAGTTGTCGCACCAATATCGTTTATTTTACGGTGACAATATGGCGATTAAAAGTCGCCCTTTTCGAGACCCTTTATTGGAACTTGTTGTATATCTATTTTATCGAAAAAATTACGCGAAGAAAATTGGTTTGAAGTTCTCGCCATCGATTTTACTGTCGAATGCGTTGATTTTAGTTCTCTGACATCTTTTAATAAATATCTTGGTAATTATTTCAAAAGTGAACGTACTTTCGGTTTCGATCATTTTTAAATTTGTTATACAAATAAATATTCTAATCGTTTTCGTGATATTCGCAAAAGACACTAGGTACCATTGTATCGAATTTTGCCCATACGCATCTGTAATACAATCACAGGTTTAATCGGCATGCTTATTGCTTCGGTCACTGTTTGGTCTTACCAGTTAAGCGACAAAATGATACCACGCCTTATGATTTTTAGCGTTTTGTCAGTAACTTCCAAATGGTATAAAAAGAAAAGAAAGGAGATACGGTTATAAATCAAATTTGATTTTGCAGGTGAAGGTTAATACTATACGATGTTATCGATAAAAATATTTTACAGAGTATTTTTATACATGTAAGAAAAATTGATGATCTTTATTTATTCATTTTCCAAATCTAGGTAATAAGATAATAAATAATTCTTTATCTATTTCTTCGTTCACTTATTTTCACATGAGCAGATAAAATTTATTAAACAAAATTTTAATCGCATTTAATCATTTTTACGTCATTAAGGAAAGCATTTTTACATTTATATCGATATGCGTATAAAATTTCCATACATTGCATTAGTCTTAAGCAATACTAAAAATCACAGTGTGTGGTGTCAATTTATAATGTATTATATATTTATTAACCGAATTATAAGCAAAACGGAAGAATGAGCTTTAAGTGAATTATAATATTTTATTTAACTGTCATAGAGTGTTTGGTAACCAATATTGACGCATTCAGTGGCATACATGTAAGTTCACATCCAGAGAAAATTCAATCTATGGTACTAACAGTTCTTTGCGAACGTCCTAGAAATTTAAAAAATCCATAGCTAAAACAAGCTAAAACGAGTTTTAAAAGAAGTAGTTCGTAAAATTAGTTTTTATAATATATTTAAAACTCATCGAAATCCAAACGTATTCATTTTCTAAATAATTACTATACTTTCAATAAGCGACATATCATATTAAACAACAGAGTATAGATAAGAAAGTCAAATTTCTTTTATAAAGGAACTTATTATTGATATTTTAGGTAACGTTTTATTACTACACGAAATTACTATAAAATTTACTACGAACTGAGAAAACGATTAAACATTGGACTTAAACCGACTAGTTTTTCATTGCATGTTTTTACTACTTCGTATTAAGGGAGCAATCGATCTGTCGAGAATTCGAAGTTTTATGTAAATTCCATTTTATGCGAATATTGTAAACGAACTGCGTATAATTAATATTTAAACGTGTCTTATAGTGATAAATAATAACAATGTATGCGTCGTATTTAAATGTGAAAGTATTTTCGTGCGTTATAAGCGACACTTAGTTATAATTATAAAATTACTTTTACCAATCGGAATTAAAAAACTGTAATCTAATTATCCCTCCATCGCATGTATAATTTATACAATTTTATCACGATAATATGTGATGGAAGAAACAAAACAAGAAACGAAAATACTCGAAGAAAGTATAGCGATCCTGAAATATCATTAATCCGAGAGCTATGATCGATAGTTCAGTGAATTAACAAAAATAGACCGTATTTCATGTTGAAGAAAGAGTTATTCACTTTCTGTCGAATCTTTCGTCGATCAATCGTGTTTCAGTTTGCGTTTCGAATAGAAAGAGTATCCATTCCCGAGTATCGTAGTCTAAGGCGCTAGGCACGTTCGATTGTTCGCCGAAATCTATATCGTTTTCCTGTTCTCGACGATGAGAAGAGAGTTCGGATAACGCTTGCGAAAACATGAAAGGGAAGTAAAAAGCAAGCAGCAGGGGTAGGGAAGAAAACGAAATAACGCGTGCTAAGTTTACGAGGAACAATGTGTCGAGGTATTAAAGTCGATTGACGTGATGTCGTGGGGGCGCGGTGAACACAAGCAACTTCACCGCACTGTAAAGTCTCGTGGTATCGTCACGAGAGTAAAGCCATATAACACGCAAGTACACAATAACTTTCCGTTGCTCCAATTGGTCGTTAAAACGGTTGCTCGAGCCACTTTGAACATATTGATCCTGTGTTACACGCCGACACGTTCCCTCTATCGACAGGCCAAGCGTTTGTTGCATCTCTCACGCAACCGAGTTACATCGATGAGGAATAGAGCCGGTGCTAGTTGCTCTGCGAATTCCGGAATACTGGCCACTTTAACATCAGCGGTAGGATTTGTTCGTTAATCGCCGATGTTGCGTTCCAATACCTTCAAATTATCGTCGTCTTTTAACGAATAGGGCAAACGTTAGTGTACCTCGAGGAACAATGAACACACGTGGTGACTATTAGTATACGTATTCACCGATTCACGTTTTTCTTCCATCTTTCAAAATGTTTCTGTTGATTTTGTTCCGTTGACCTAATCGTCAAATTAACGTGATCCGAATGCTAAAAATAATTTAATATACTTTTCTAGTTTCCTTGTTGTATTTTTCTTCTTTTCCCCCCCTTTTCATTATTTTTTATCGTTCAAGCGGAATAATTTGCCGTGCAGAGAGCGCAAATACGCTTAATTACTGTTTGCTTCTCGGTTAGAAAAAATTGGATTATCATTGTAAAATAAGGATGCCATGCTTGTAAATATTCAACGTACACGTGTATACATTTGTGCATGTATCCGAAAACGTACCAAACGGAGTTGTCATATCTTTTGCGTTCCTAATTCGTACGCGAATGAATGGAGAAAAGAGAAAAGAGAACATACTTTATATACCGAATGAAAGGAATGAATAAATAGATATTAAGGCGAAAGGAAAGAATTTTTAGTGCTAATTTCAAAAATCGATATCTATGTATTATGTATCGTTGAAAACGTGTCATCTTTTGTACTTTTAAAATTCTCATAATATTTCTCTTTTATATACGTCGATGTATTACACTTTATCATTTTATTTTATTTAATCAGAATGTATTCCATTTACTCTCCTATTATATATACGATACTACGTGATTTGTATATGCGGCACTTTCTGTCAACGATGAAAATTTGTGAGCCTTATTTTTACGAATGCATTGTATTGAACGAGGAAGTCCATAAGGATATACCCAATTGGACTTATCCATGTTCTTACGCTTAACCATCTTTCCAATCATACATAGTAGTGTAAACGTATCGTACAAGTGCTGATCCTAAACGTACACCCATACTTGTTGCGTACTCATATATCATATCACCGTTGTTCACTATTCAATGATACGATACAATGCAACAATTCATAATTCACAATTTTTCTCTGTATCGTTATTCCGTATGTGTTCTAAGCAGGATGACGTGTCTTGGCGATATATGTATTTGGATGCTTAGAACAGAAATAAGTATGCAATGTTGCAGTTTCCATCCAAGTTATTCAATTAACTATCATATTATTTCTTTGATGTATTTGAAAAACTGACAAACGACGGGTCGATCCAGTTTGCGTATCTTTGAATCATATTTTGATATGTAACTTTGATATGTATAATGCTTGCCGTCCATACTAATATGCAACGGCGATAGGATACAAGGATACGCAACAAATGTAGACGAAGCTTCAGATTGCGGTGGCATGATGGTCAGAAGTGTAATTAGGATCAGTGATCTAACAAGAGAGATTTCTCAAATGTTAATAACCGATTTTGGTGAAATCTACGGAAACTATAATTTTCCAAAAAATATAAAAAATCAATATCCTTTTATTCATTTATTTAATCATTCTTACATCTTAAATACGAACTACTAACGATAAAAGGTAATTATTCATATCTAAGACGTGAGAATGATTAAATAAATGAATAAAAAGATATTAAATTCTATTATGTTTTTTAAACGAATTCATATTTTAGAGAATGAAGAGAATAGAAATTTCTTTCAAGTAATTAAAATATTTTTATTTAAAACTAAATAATATTTAAAATATTTTCTTTGAAATATCTAAACAAAATCTGTTAATACTGAAAAATCTTCCTTGCAAAAGTTACGAAAGGATAATGAGTGGATGAAAGTGATGGTTGAAAATAATTTCATAGACTCCAAGATGGATGATCCGAGCCGAATTTTTTACTCTCTTTACTCTTCCTTTAGCGGGTTAGTAATCACTGTGAAGTGAGTGAGGTCCAGTTATGAAGCGAGTTGTTCCTTCTAAGTAAATTGCGGAACTCTTTCACACAGAGATATGATGAAATCAAATTATCAGATCTGCATGTAACTATACACTGCGATGGTTGAATCAAGAAAATAGTATCTTAACGAACGAAGAGACTGGATGATAATATGAAATAAAGTGATCTCTTACTAATCTTGGTTGCAAAAGCCATCCAATTACCGTGACATTTGATTACAACCTGAATACTTTATTATTTATTGGCAAACTTTCAAAAATTGTTATCATTCATAAATTATCTATTTTATTATGAAAGTATTATGGTTCTTTTATATAACGCTTGACTACTGTAAAAATAACAGAAAGAAACATTGAGGAGATTGAGCGTAATCAATACTCT